GTTCAACGAAGTTTTAAAAATAAAAAAATTATTTATCTTCAACGAAGTTTTGAACATAAAAAAAATAAAATTATTTATATAATAATAGATAGAATTAATTGGAAATCTTTGAGTTATTGCCAAAGGAATTTTTGCTTAAGAAAATGTGGAAGACACTTTTTGTATTGCGGCATCTTAAAAAACACAAAAAATTTTTACAACATTTATATTTAGTACTTAAATAGTAAGACATTTTAATATAAAAATAGCCACTCCCTGTCTTCAGGTGCAAACTATGTATTTGTTGTTCCACAACTGATGATTGGGAGTGCCTCTTCCACAAAACAGCTGCAGCACAACCAAGCCCTAATATGGGAGTAGCAAGCGTTATGACCAAGTCGAACTACCCTGAAAGCCAGAATTAAGCCAAATCCGATCCCCTTTTGTTTGATTTGGCATGACGAGCCGAAGAAGCTGAACTTTTGGGCCGTGCAAAGTTCAATGCGCCGTTGGCGCGGTATCTGTATCTCAATATCTCCCCATCACGTCGGCCCTTTGTATCTTCTGGCATTGACTTCGACTTCGACTCCGGCTCCCCTATTTTGTGGCGTCGACAAGATACTGGAAGTGCATCTCGGGGCAGAAGAAGTAGCAACCCCTAGCAAATGAGAGCGTGTGTTTCCATTTTATTTGTGTGGTGTGCTGCGCTCGTTTATTTTTCAGCTGCATCAGCAGCACAAGCGGAGAAAGAAAGGTAGAAATCGAGGTAGTGAAGTTGGTTGGTTGTCTAAGCCCCGTCCACTTCCCCATTGCCCAGTGTTTTTCCCTTCGCGGTCCCAATTCGTTGCCTTAAATACACCTGCCACGCGTCGCCATAGCCCAGCAATCCCAAGGAGTTTTACGGGGATCGGAGAAGGCGAGTCCTGCGCCTGCGCCTGCTCCTGCATTTAATTAAAATATTAACTACGAAAATGACTGAGCCAAATGTGGGGAGAGACCACAGCCACTACGCTTCGCTGCCTGCACTACCCAAGAAAAGGACTAGTTAAAAGTAACATTATTACAAAGAACTTATTTGGATTAGATACAAATACAATACAAACACAGTTTAAACTTTTTAAAAAGTAAAACGTTTTTAACACAAAACAAAAACTTTTGAAAATACAATTTTATTGCAAGAACACTAAATAACTTCTCTATGTTTCAATACTTCGAATTCGTGATGCTTGATTTTCAATAAGTTTTATTGTTTAATAATAATTTAAGATATTTTACCCAAAGTTTTTGTATAAATTACGCCACTAGTCCTTTTGATAGATACAAATTTGGCAGTGTTTGCAACATATATATATCATATATAATTTAAGTGTGGTACGGACACAGTCTATATATCCCTTTCTATATCGCTTTATCCCCCTCTGACGATCTCCTGCTCTCTTCTACAGGTCCTGGCAACAGGAACTCGTTTCAATTAACATTCAACATTCATTTTTGCATTTCAAGTTTCGTTGGAAAAACGCACGAGTCGCCCCTCCGACCAGGATATAAATACATATATAATACATATCGTATAGTACATATATCCTGCATCCTGCTCGCACGCAATTAACGCACGCGCCCTGCTCTCCGTCTCACTCGCACCTTCAGGTCCTTTCCGTTTCCCGTTTTCGCGGCCCGGAACTATGCTTCATATCAAAGTAATTACGCATTTCAGTCTTCCAAGCGTTTCAAGTCCGGCCAAAAAGGATATAAACAACTAAATTGGCTCAAAAAAAGTTGTTTACCGGTTGTCGGGACAACGCCAACGATACAGGTTATCACTGGCAAGGGATTGTTTTTTCGGTGGAATAGCCACAGGATTACAACACTCAGGATCGTTGTTAATTCAAAATATATATTTTGGAAATCCTCAGAATAAATAGATAACCGATTTTAAGGGAGCTTAACTTATAACAAGAACAAAAGAAAATAACAAATTTGAATTTGATTTTTAGAGAATCAAACCAAGATCATTTTGAAGTATGCCACTTCGAAAATGACGAAAAATCGACCCAAAAAAAAAAACCAAAGTGATAACACAGATTTTTAGGGAATCAAACCACGATCATTTTAAAGTATGTCATTTAGAAATCGGATGTCTGTAGGAAAAGTTATGGGCTTAGATGTGCAGTTTTTGGACACTTTTCTGCAAACCCATTTTTTTAAAATTTGGAAAGGGGTAACATCATAAAAATGACGAATAATGGACCCAAAAAAAAAAAATTTAACTAAAAACACAGACTTTTAGGGAATCAAACCACGATCATTTTGAAGTATGCCACTTTGAAATCAGGTGTCTGTAAGAAAAGTTATGAGAGTAGAAGTGCAGTTTTTGGACCCTTTTCAGCAAACCCATTTTTTGAAAATTTGGAAAGGGGTAACATCATTGAAATGACGAATAATCGACCCAAAAAAAAAAAATAAACTGAAAACACAGATTTTTAGGGAATCAAACCACGACCATTTTAAAATATGTCATTTAGAAATCGGATTTCTCTAAGAAAAGTTATGGCCTTAGATGTGCAGTTTTTGGACACTTTTCTGCAAACCCAATTTTTGAATCATGAAAATGACGAATAATCGACCCAAAAAAAAAAATTAAACTAAAAACACAGATTTTTAGGGAATCGAACCACAATCATTTTGAAGTATGCCACTTTGAAATTGGATGTCTGTGAGAAAAGTTATGAGAGTAGAAGTGCCGTTTTTTGACACTTTTCTGCAAGCTCAATTTATGAAAATTTGGAAAGTGGTTACATCATTAAAAATGACAAAAAGTCGACAAAAAAAAAATTAAACTAAAACACAGATTTTTAGGAAATCAAACCACAATCATTTTGACGTATGCCACTTTGAAATTGGATGTCTGTAAAAAAAGTTATGGGCTTAGAAGTGCAGTTATTTGGCAGTTTTCTGCAATGCCATTTTTCGAACCATCAGAAAAATCGACCCAAGATCCTTAAGATCACCAAGTCCAAGTGATTTTTTTGAACGAATGATGATCTCGGGCTACTATTGATCATTATCCTGGTAAGATCATCAGCCTAACATGAAGAAAAAGATTACAGAGGATCAGGTAGAATCCGATACGATCGCCGGATAATGATCGGGGCTAAAGATCAACTGGCACGAGGGAAATTTACATGTGAGTGCTTTGGCTTTGGCCGGGATTTGACTTTTGACCGATCAAAGGTGCTGAAACAAAGGGAAGAACACACGATCTTGCCGATCGGTAGAGCTACCACTTCAGAAATTTCAGAAAACGAAAACTATCAATCATTGCGCAAATGCATTCCACTTCAGTCAAACATCCGCAGACACAATAGATCATCCAGTCCACAAAGGACGCAGGACTTCAACCCTATTCTGGGCATTTCACCAGCATTTCTCCGGTTTTTCTCGCAGCATATATCAAAAATACCACAATGGAACCTGGGGAAATGCGAAAATTTGAATAGAAAGTCGGGTTGCCAAAAATTCTGCGACACTCGGGAACAATACACGTGTTAATGATGCCAAAATAATGGAAACCAACTACCGATACCGGCATTACAATGCAAAAAATAAAGAGTGGAGATTCCAACAAAGTGCAGCATGCAAAAAAGGTAATGGAAATTGTCAAAGGATATATAGAAAGTACACAGAGAAGCGCCGTTTGCTGGTCATGTTTGAAAAGGTTTTTGGTTTTTCGGTTTTCGGTTTCGGTTTTCGCTTTGGTTTCGGTTTTTGATTTTGATTTCGGGGATCTGGGATTTGGCAAATGGAAATGGAAATGGAGAAGTGCCACTGCTGACGATGATTTTTGCAAAATGAAAATGCAGGCTGGCACAAACAAAGGGAACGAGTTGAGAACAATAAAAATATAACTTACACCTGGCCGCCGATTCTCGCTCCCCCTCTCACTCGCACTCATCGATCGATGATCGTGACAAAATGAGGCGACTTTTGTGAACCGAGCGGAAGTTGCAATCCTCAGTCGGCGTTTAGCACGATCGTCAATGGCTGATGATGACCAGTGCGGCGATACAGTGGTCACTCGGAAGTAACAGTTTCCGGAAATCAAAAGCGTATTGCTTTCAAAAAGAAAGGGGATGTAACTCTGCTTGTCGGATAATACCTCTTCATCAGTATTAACCTTACACAAACATATTTTATAAGCTCAAGCTTAAAAGTAAAATCTTTAAAAAATATATCTCAAAATGAATATATTTTATATCTTATACAAGTATTTTGTCAAACAATACCCTGAACAACATTTTTATTGTATACTTAAGCAACAGTATTTATTTGAATTTTGCAGTCATACAGAACTAAAAATCGCAATATCCACTGTAGAGTGCCATCCAAAACTTTTGTCACATCCCGAAAGTCTGTGTATTGTGGCGTGTTTTGGGTGAAAAAGCCGTGATCCTTTTGATCATTTAATTAGAGGAATATGTGAAATTGTTCGAACACCTTCGAGGGCCTGACTCTGCATGGCTAATAAGGAGGATCTGGGGATCTCGTGGGGATCTCCTTGGATCCGTCCGGCGCTAATGAATAGGGGCGTGCGTGAGTTGCACATGAAATTGGCGATCGCAACTTTTGCTAAGTTAATTAACACGGAAATCGAATAGCTGGCATGCCGCAGCGAAAAGAACACTCAGAAATGCAGTTGATCGTTGGTTTTTGAGTTTGAGTGGTTACTTTGAGTGGTTCTGCCCGCTCGACTGGGAACAGTTTTCCTGGGGGATTTCTTGAGTACATGGGAGAGGGAGAGCGCGAGCGAGAGCGAGAGACTACCTGTGGCTCACTCAATCGTGCTGTATGGCTGCATGCTACCTGCACAGGTACCTCACTCACTCTCCTTCTCACGCACCTCTCTCCGACTGGCGACTCTCTCGCCGGCTTCTCTGCCTGGTTTTTGAGCGACTCTCTAGCCTGAAGGGTACATAACGTGAGGGTTTAGGACGAAGGGACTCATTCTTGTGCAAGGTGTCAAACGATCAAGTTCAAGCCTTCTCCTCTCCTCGTATATAACTTATATTTTTTTCTGTTGATCGTAAAGAAACCCGAAAAACTGTGTGTGTTTACGAAAAAAGAAAAATAAAACCCAATAAGAAAGAAATAGAGAGAAATCACAACCATGTCATCGAGTGTGCTGACCACGACCAACCACGATCTGTTTCCCACGACCATCAACACGGCCACGAAGATCTTTCGCTACCAACACATAATGCCGGCGCCCAGTCCATCGAGTCCCGGCAATCAGAACCAGCCACATCCTGCGGCTCCTGCCACAGCCACTGCCACCGCGATGCCGATCAAGACCCGCAAGTACACGCCCAGGGGCATGGCTCTGGCCAGGTCCTCCTCCGAGTCGGTGTCATCGCTGTCGAATGGCTCCCTGTCGCCGGCTCCCTACAACGTGGACCAGTCGCAGTCCGTCCAGAGACGCAATGCCCGGGAGCGGAATCGTGTGAAACAGGTGAACAACAGCTTCGCCCGACTGCGACAGCACATCCCGCAGTCCATCATCTCGGATCTGACCAAGGGCGGTGGTCGAGGACCGCACAAAAAGATCTCCAAGGTGGACACACTGCGCATTGCCGTCGAGTATATTCGCAGACTGCAGGACTTGGTGGATGATCTGAATGGGGGCAGTGGCAGTGGCAGCAGCTCCTCGGCCAGCAATGCGGTTAGCCAACTGCAGCTCTTCCTGGACGAGTCGAGCAGCCACAGTTCCAGCAGCAGCACCTGCAGTTCCTCGAACCACAACAACAGCACCTACTATCAGAACGCCAATCCTCTCCAGCAACAGCAGCAATTGCAGCGGCAGCAGTTCAACCACCAACCGCTGACAGCCATCTCGCTGAATAGCAATCTGGTGGCCACATCCTTGCCGGGAAATGGCAGTGGAAATGGAAACGAGAACGGAGGAAGTCAGCAACAAACCTGCCACTCGCCCACCTCCTCCTTCAACTCCAGCATGTCCTTCGATTCGGGCACCTATGAGGCGGCTCCCCAGCAACTGTCCAACCGCTTGGATCACCTCGACCATCTCGACGGCGAAGGACACACGCACTCGCAGCTCCAGCTAAAATTCGAACCCTACGAACACTTTCAATTGGACGAGGAGGACTGCACGCCCGACGAGGAGGATCTCCTCCTGGACTACATCTCTCAGTGGCAGGAGCAGTGAAGCAATCCCGAGGATCCTCGGGACCAATCCCCCACCACATCCTGTTCTCTTCTAGTCAATGTTGAGTTGAACCAAGTGCCTCAATTTGTAAATAACACACTCATGCGAAAATCACACACACACACACATTTTTTTTCCTATTATAAGTTAATTTTTTTGTATAAGTTAAGAGCCCAGAAACCAGTATCAAATATATATTTATAAAATATACGAATACAACACTTTTTTTTTTTGGAAATACAACTAAATGTTAATTAGTTTTTGGTCAAAGAAATAAAGCAAAAATCATAACAGAATCAAGTTTTCTTATTTTTTCCTGCAGAGAAGCCCGCTTATAATGAAGTTGGTAAGACATGCGGGTAGCACTTGCACTTCGATTGCATTTCGCAGGGATCCACATTATCTGCATCATGGGGGCATTATGTGCAACTTGAGGTAGCAAACAACAAATTAAAAACGAGGACGGAAGCTAACTTCGGCAAGCCGAAGTTTTAATACCCTTGCAGACTTTGACGAAATTGCTAAAAGTGAAAAGGTAGCGAAAGGAATAAGGTATACATAAGTAAACTAGATTTGCATCGTTTCAACTCAATTGCTTTTATACTGCAAAAATGTCATATACAAATAGAAAAAAAGGGATACTTTCGCAGCCTTTAACAATTTTTCCTATCTCCTTTAAGATATAGACTTCCGAGCGGCAAGCGCTTTTACCCTAATCAAGATATGCGTAAATAAATAAGAATTGGAAAATTTTATGTTAGTAGCTTACACACTGCGCGAAATATTCTGATAATCATCAAATTTGGACCGATTTCACCCTATTGTTCCTATGGGAGCTATAGGATATAGACGTCCGATCGGCACGCGCTTTCACCTTGATCAATGTATGCATAAAAAAATAGGATTTGGAAAGATTCATGTCAATAGCTTGTATACTGCGTGAAATATCCTAAAAATCATTAAATTTTAACCGATTTTACCCTTTTGTTCCTATGGGAGCTATAGGATATAGACGTCCGATCGTCACGCGCTTTTACTCTGATCAAGGTACGCATAAAAAAATAAGATTTGGAAAGATTTATGTCAATAGCTTTTACACTGCGCGAAATATCTTCCATTCTTGCAAGTTATAGCCGATTGTTCCTATGGGAGCTATAGGATATAGACATCCGATCGGGGCGGTTTTCAAACTTGATCTGCGTACACTTGTTTTAGGACGACTGTGAAAGTTTCAGATCGCTAGCTTTTAAACTGAGCTCGCAAACGGTATTGAAACAGACGGACAGACGGACAGACGGACGGACGGACAGACGGACAGACGGACATGGCTATATGGACTCCCCTATTGATCCTGATCAAGAATATATATACTTTATAGGGTCGGAAACGTCTCCTTCACTGCGTTACAAACTTCTGACCAAAATTATAATACCCTCTGCAAGGGTATAACAATACGGGATGTGCGGGCACTGGTTGCTGGCCATCGGTTTTATGCGGTCCACTCAGAGCCATCGTAAAGTGTTAATACTAATCCCAAATAACACAGAGCCCAGATTAGTGGGCCCCTGGTCTTAAAGTCAGCCCTTGCCCTTTCCTTCAGGTAGCCTGGAGAAATTCAAATTGCCGCAGGTAAAATCAGGCATAGAAAACACAAAGTACGCCCCAATTGACACGTGCTATACAAACGGACAAAGTTGAGGGAGTAGCGTCGGCAAAACCTTATCGCAATTGACCGAGCGCAAACATTTCTGCGATATATGCTAATTCAAATGAATTCTTAATTCAGGAGCGGAAATGGGCGTGAAGGGAGGCCCTGAAACACGTCATTCACGCCAAGGTCAAGTGTGGAGGCTTCCAGAAAAGAAATGCCCATTTCACTTATCTAAACGAGAAAAAGGGGATATACATAAAAATCCGAGTAACAAGCTTGGTTTTATTGGGAAACATTTGACATTGCATTTTTTAAGTTCACTAATCTACAGGAAAATAAAGAAATTAATTCAACTACAATACACAATACTTGATAGATGATGTAGACAATTTAATTAATAACAAAACGCCGGATCATTGAAAATAATCGAATAATCGACCCAAAAAAAAAAAAAATTAAACTAAAAACACAGATTTTTAGCGAATCAAACCATAGTATATAGTACGGATATTACTTAAAACACTAACTTCAATAAAAACAAGAAAGGAAAGCTAACTTCGGGCGGAGCCCTTGCCGAATATTCTATAAATTATATTCTCCAAAATTATTCATATGATGCATTCTTAATACTTATAAAAAATCCCAACTTCGCAGCTTTACAAACATCAAAGTTTTGGGATTTCCGATCGGTAAGTTATGTTTCACCTTGTTTTTTAGTTTTAATAAAAACCTTAAAAACTGTGTTTTTTGGTTTCCAAATGATTAAACAAAAATATAGCGATAAGAACATTAGCTCATTTCCATTTATATGCTGGTCCATACATATACATATTTGGTGATTAGGGATTTTGCTATTGTTGGCCGACGGATGTGAGACTTGGACGGCCACGATAAGAATATGTTATATTTTTTAATGTTTTAGGCTTCGTTGTTATTTCAACTTACAGCTTCATTTCAGTACACTTTTTGAATTCGATTTGAGTGGATGGAACATCTTAAAATGTTGAGACTATTATCCTGTTTGCTTGGCTTATTAATTTTACCAAGTGTAACCTTTTACATTGCCTTCAATTCAAAGGGTCAGTTGTTGTGCGTTCTCCAAGATGAACCCGGACAGTGTGGCTCCTATTGCCTGTCCGCACTCAACGCGCTTTTCAACGATACTGATAACATTCGCACGTTGGATGAAATCAAGGCAGAACTGAAGGCCGGATTCGATTCGGGACACAAGCAGGAACACAAAGAAGACTTCGCGAATTCAATTCAGGCTCTGCAGGCCAAGCTGGATGTGAGACTACACAGAATGGTGGAACTTAGGACGGTGAGTTACGGATAGCAGACATACAGCCAGACATTCAGACTAACAGACAAATAGAAATCTTAGAAAGTCCATCGAAATTGCTTATCTCTGTTTATAGGTACATTTTATACATTAAATTACATTAAATTAAATTAAATTAACACACAACTATAACCGTTCTTAGAAAACTAGTATAATACATCAACGAAAGTTCATTACACTATTTTTTTTTAGTTTGTTTTGAATCGATGGCAATATTATCAATACTTTCTTTTGTAAGCTCAATTAAGATTTATTGCACTAACCAACTAATTCAAATATTGAAAACGAATGCAATGATTATTATTTTAACGCCTGTTCTAAATCATTTTGTACAGACTAAAATAGTAGCCGATGCCAACGATGAACTCAAAAGCCAACTTAAAGAAAGAGATGAACAAATCTCGACCCTTACGACTCAAATTGAAGCGATTGAGAAAACAAAATCAGAACTATCTAGTCAGGTTTCTGAATTGCATAAATATTGTGACATTTTACCTGACTCTTGTCCGAGTGACAGTCCCAATGGGATTTACCAAATAAAGCTTCGGGGTCTTGAACCCTTTGAAGTGCCATGTGCGACTTCTCCACCTGGTTGGACAGTAATTGAGAGACGCGTTGACGGATCCGAGAACTTCAATCGAACCTGGAATGAATATAAATCTGGATTTGGGAATGTCAGTAGAGATTTCTTCATCGGGCTGGAAAAATTGCATCGGATGACTGAGGCACGACCCCACGAACTCTACATTAAACTTGGAAAGGTTGATGGATCCAGGACCTACGCTCAATACGATGATTTTAAGATCGGGAATGAAAAGGAATTCTACGAGTTGAAGAATCTAGGGAAATATTCTGGTACAGCCGGAGACTCCGTTATAAACAGTAAGAACCAAAAGTTCTCCACATTTGATCGGGATAATGACGGTAATAGTGAATATAATTATGCCATGGGTTACGGTGCATGGTGGCACGGCAGCCGTTCATTTATGTAGGTATACCTGTTTATTTATGCTCTTATTAAATCTTCTTACTATAATCACTTAAAATTTCAGTTCGCTCAATGCAAAATACTTTAAAGATGACAAAGCTTGGAATGGAATTATTTGGAACTTATTCAATGGATTTCCAGAATCACTTACCTTTGTTGAAATGATGATAAGGCCCAAGTCCTTATAAGTCGCACTGTTTAAGTATGAAATATTTGAATATTAAAAAAAAATACTAAATCTATATTGTATTCCTAATGCTGTCTGATATTAATTTGTTTTCATTTGATAAGATGGGAGATTTGATAAATGGAAGTGATTGACATTATTTTACAACTGATGTGCGTATTTTAGGAACATAAATACGGATAAGTGGAAAAGTGTTCGCTATATTTTCATTCGGATGGCGTTCGCATTTGTTATTAATTTGCGTGTTTATCAACTTTTTGCTAAGTCATTTTTATGGGTAAGGGGGGCTCTGGGGAAATTATCTGGATAAGGGTACTTTGCAGCTTAAAGATACTATTATTCTTGGGTACACATATTGGAGGTGGTTGCTACCCAAAGGGGAAAGTCAAGGCAACGATTGCCCTTCTGCTCTGGTACCCTTTGCAAGGGTATACAAATATTTCTGACATCCATAAAGTTTTAATCTTTAACAAAGGAATATTGCAGAATGAAAAAACATAAATGAGTAACTTGAAGGCTACTGGTAAACAATGACTGTTTTCCCATATATTAAAAGGTGTGTTCTAGACGAATCTAATTGCAAAGCCTGTAAATATCCGACTCAGAATCTCAAGAAGAGTATTTGGTTATAATCCGATCACCATGTCATGTGTTATAATTTCCATTTTTCCATTTTCCAAATCCTGTCGGCAGGAGAAACGCCCAACCTTTGTTCTGAGTGTTTTGCCTACAAATTGATGGCTTTATAATATAGTCCTCTGCACCACTTTTAGGCACTTTCTTTTTCTGGAGAAGGAGAAAAGCAAAAGCCTTTCGAGTCACACAATAAACCATTTCGCTCCCACGCACCAAGATGTCAGATCGTTCGAATAAAACCTCTTCTGGCCAGACAATAAATCACTTTGCATTAGAAAAACAAACGCCTGGGAGAATGTGTCCATGGACTATATTTTGACACATTAAAGGGCATCGCGGACAAAGGAACGCATTGTCCTTGGGATCGCTGGATGCTCCAAAGGAAATGAAAAGGGATCGGGATCGGGAACCGGGGATCCTTTCTTTCAATGTCAACGCTGACACTTGACATCTCAATGCAATTGTTTCGGGTCATGGAAATGGGTTCTCTGGGATGCCATATTCTGGATTCTGGATTTTGGTTCACTGTAGGCAAGGCTTAAGGCTCAGCGCCGGAAGAACTTTCACCTTTGGTTCTTTCGAAAGAAAGAACCACAATTTTTTTCAGCTGCTTTCGTTTTTTTTTTGTATATTTCGTTTTGGGTCTGAATTAAAAATGTTGTTTAATAGATTTCTCGACGCGCCACGCCAGCAACATTGTGGCACATAAAAAAAAACCAGCCGCCTACATCAATCAGGCCCAGATATTTGACCAAATTATAGGCTCGTCCGAGGTTTCGAGGACTCAGGACCGCAGATTGATGGCTCAAGTCCACATTGCCAGTCGCGGCTTAGCTCATAATTCAGCTCTTTAAGAAGTTGTTACTTGAAACATTTATTTTTACACCTTAGGCGCGATGCAAACGCCCAGATAGCCAACAACAAAAATAAAGTAAAATGAAGAGGAGAACAACCAACAAGGAAAGCTAAACTAAATAATACAACAGAGAATTTGGAAAAGGATAAGACAGACTGTCAAATACCCTTGCAATTGTATTTACATGAAGTAACAATACATTTACTTAATTAACTTAAATATTAATCTATGTAATGAATTTAAAATATATCAAATTCAAAAATTCTTTGTAAGCACACATATTTTTGAAGTAAACAATTGTTTGGATTTTAAAAAGGTTAATAATTTTATAACGTAAATGAACTTCTATGAAATAAACAAATGTAATAATTCATATAAATTAATTATGAACTATTACACTTGTATATTGTACAATAATTCATATCAATTAATTATGAACTATTACACTTGTATATTGTATAATAATTCATATAAATTAATTATGAACTATTACACTTACTAATTACTATCTTTCATAGAAGTGTTTGGCAAACTTGTTATGAAAAAATGAAATCAAATAACTCCCAAACGTTCTGAAACTATTATTATACCCCAAAAGTTAGGACATCGAGCAGAACAAGGCAATCAAAACAGCAAAACGTTGCAGGCGTCGTTCGGCGTTACCGATTTATTTGAATTTCAATAAGGCCCAAAGTTTTTGGGGTTCATTATCCTGTTATGTCGGCATTTCAGGCCTTTCATCTCGCGGCGCACGCAACGCATTTGAACTGGGGCGTTATTAATTAGCGTTATGAATTATTGATGCAGGACCCGCGGGTGAAAATCGCCCACACACTGCCCTTTCCCCACCAGAACAAAAGCCATATCCTAACTTAAGCCAAAACCAATGGCAAGACACGAAATATTTAAGAAGCTATTCAAATTATTTCAACAACATTTGCAGAAGAAATTCCCTTAATAAATATTGTTAGTAAACTGGAATAAAAAATATATGCCAAGGAAATACTTAAAGAAAACAAATGTATTTAGCAAATAATCTACTTAAAAAAGCAAAAATAAGTATGAAATTTGGAACGAGAAGGTACTTTAATCCGAATATTTCAACATTCTAAAATAAGCGATTTAGAGCAACTCTTTCAAAACTATTTGGCAAGAGATGATGCAGCTCCCCGGCTGATATCTTTATTTTTCGGGGAGAGGATGCATAAATCGCAGCCAAACGTGCAACGTTCATCATCTGGGGAGCCAGAGGGGATAAAATAAAAATATGTTCCAATTAGCGAAGCCAAATGTGACAAGCCGGCCAGCCAGAAGAAATCAAGGCAGCGAGTCGCAAGTCGCGACTTCGCCAGGCAAAAGTTATTTGAGTTGTCATATTAGGTTGTGATAAATGTAGTTACATACCAAATGTGATAACTCTGTCTCTGTGTCTCGGATTCCCCGGGTTCTGGTTTAAGTAGGCGCCTCAGTTCCCTTTTTTTCCATCCCATGATGATGATCCGCGATCCGCGGACTTCGTTCCTCCACTTTCCCATCATTCAAAACGGTTTTATGGGGCCCGGGAAATTCCTAGAGCCTGTTTTCGCTGCTTTTTGGGTTTATGACCCGCGATCCGTGACCCTGACTTCCCATCTTGACTGACCTGTTCGCCCAAAGGACCTCGAATTCCACCTGCCGGGTGGAAAAGGGTTTACCTGGCTAAAAAAGGGACTTAATAAGCGAACGGACAATTGGTAAATCGCGGAAAATAGATCAACCCTTCCCCTATTTCTGCACCTTTCCCTCAAATATATCAGGCTTATTTGAAAGAGAAAATCCAGGATCAGCATAATAATTTTTACAACACTTCGCTGGGCTAATCCTTCTTCCTGAGGCTTTTACAAAATTAGTGATTTAAGATTTGGGTAAATAAGTTAATAAGACATAATATCTTCTTTTATTCTTATAAATACATTTAAGTTTTGGCTCAATATATTTATAATTTAGTTAAAGAAATGTGTGTTTATTTAAACATATATTGTATATTTTATTTAATGTATTAAACATGACTTTCTAGGAAGTAAATAAGTTTCTTTAAAGATCCCTTTTCCTGTAAAACATCTTGTATCAACCTTCTGATAAGTTCCTCCCTAGAAACACACCTCTCCCATAGATTTGTTTATTCAATGTTTTCCATCGACCACCAGCGATGTGTGGGCCTCCCAATTAAGTTCTTGAGTTTGCGATTATCCCAAATTTGGTCTAGAAATAATCCCATTAGAGCGTGCTGCATAAACACACAACAATTTGCCACTGGGCGTGTTCCAGTTCGCACTAGAGAAATAGTTGCCTCAGCGTAATTGCCAGCCACTTGAAGAAGGCATTTCTTCGGTGCCACAAATTCAATGCCAAAATTCAAACTCAACCATGACAACGATGACAACCCAATCTTTGGCCATCTCACACGTGCCCTTCTTCCTTCAAATCTCACGAAAAAAAAAATGGAAATTTGCTCACAGATCTCGCATTGAAATTCCGCAACACGTAGCGCAAAACGTCTGAGATGTTTTTTGATGGATTATATGGATTTTGCCCATAAACACCAAACAATTAGTTCGCTGGACGATGCACAGAGGAAACCGAATACATCAAATCAAGGAATAAATTTAAACTTGCATTTATTCGACTAAATACTAGACTAACTTTACTATTGCAAAGTCAAATATACAATGTAGCAATAGAAATATTTGTTAAGTATATTAAACAGCAAATGTTTCGAATTTAAAAGTTATTTTCCCTCTAATAAAATTAAAAATGAAGTCTATGAATTTTAAAAACCTTTTCTGTTTTAATAGCCTTAAAAATCAAGCTCTAAAAAATAAAAATAAATCGTATTTCAGTTGCAAGTTTATATTTAAGATGATAAATGTTTCTAACTTCCCTGTTTCTCCATGTGTGAAAATGCGGCAAATAGTTTTGAAGTCCGCTGGCTTTTGGGTCCATCAATCTCTGCGGTGGCGTTGCTCGAGATTCTCAACTTTTGTCAAACACATCGCTGGATTCTGCACTGCTGTTCGTTTTATTTGCATAAAATGCGAAAAGGCACAACAAAGCCGAACAGAGACGCATCTGCAGTGGAGTTTTTCAGTTGCCCAAAGGGGCCAAAATGGGCGGACAGAGCTGAACTGATCGATCGATGGTTTTGTGGCCTTTTTGTGTTGTTTTTGGTTTTATTTTGTTTTTTGGTGGGGCCGGGTCAGCTGGCCATAAATCATGATCTGTAATTACCCGTTGGCGCAGGATGCTGCGGCATCTCCCCACAAGCCACGCGTACAAAGAAGTCCCGAAACGCGAACCCAAACCCAAAACCAAAACCAAATCTAAAGGCCAAAATCCAAAGAGTTCAAGAGTTTATCGGGGAGTTGAAAGAAAGGATTGCGCCATGACCAACACAAAATAAGGACCACTTGATATGCATATTTGTTGTGATAGATAGCCATGCAAAAGGACCCTTTGATGTCATCATCATCGCGATGATCCTTTCACTCCACAAATATTTAGATGCATAGATACACATGTCGGCCGTGGAGAGATGGCA